TTACGAATCTCTCTGCTCCTCCAGCTTCGTGGGCCACGTTTTCCGCGACGGTGGTTACCACGTGCACTTTGCCGCTTTGCATTGCTGCCGCGGGGACATATGTGAGCTTATAGAGACTGTATGTCCTGCAACTAACAGGGTGCCACACACAAAACGCCCGACTAACCAACAGAGTACCCAACACCTCTCGTCTGCACCTTCCCAACATAACATATATGAGACACACAAGACAGCTACCAAACTGATTTGTTGAGCCTGTTACCCGCAGGGGACATGTCCCTATATGCTGTCTGGGAAATCGTAGACATGCAGGTAGTTTTCTCTGACGCTATGATTCCGTTGTTAATCTGTCTATGACTCTTTTCTATGATAGAGATGAACTCGTTGTGTCATATTAAGAAAAAAAAAAAATCTCCTCACATTTTTCAAGCTACAAACGATGCGGCGCATCCTGTTTCACCTCAAGCATCGCCGACTCAAGCCTCGTTCTCTACGGCAATCGACTCCGCTTGGTCGAACTACATACAGAGGACACCACNTCACTTACCAGACAGCGCTCGCTGTAGCAGCCGGAGCGGGAGAGCACTCGTGTACTGACACGGACGTGTGCCACCCCGGCCAGCGGTGCAAGCCCGTTGAGTCTGGCGGAGTGAGCCTTGCCGAGCGAGCCAACAGTCTCGGCATTCGGCACGAGACTTTCAGCGACGCACGGCGGCGGATGCACAACACGAACCACGACATCTCCCCCAAGATCGCTGTGAGTGAGGGATGCTACGTGTACAACGAGCGCAAGACACGGAGTGACGTGACGAATCCCGGGAACAGAAAAAGAGCAGGGGGAGGTGCAGGATACCTATAGTTTTGTGTGGGCTACTAGTGTGGGGGTGCAGACAGACGATCTTGAGGTGGGAGCGGCCGGAGACAAGTTGTTGACGGCCACGAAGTGGGCGGTAGACGAGTTCAAGGCGAGGAAATGGGCTGCCCCCAAGAAGTTCACCAGATCTTGGAAGTTGCGGGTTCGGGGCGCATCG